GGCGGGAAACGGGTGGCGGGAACATATGGCGGGAAGGGGTTGGCGGGAAACGAATGGCGGGAAGGGGTTGGCGGGAAACGGGTGGCGAAAAAATACATTTCAGCATAATGTATGAGCCATGCAACTTCGGCCTACACGAGACCAAAAAGTACTTTTCGGCCTAGGCTTCACCAAAAAGTCTATTTCGGCCTAGACTTGACCAAAAAGTGCCTTTTCGGTCAGGACCCCACCACTTCGGCCAAGAGATGGCCGAAAAGTCCACTTCAGCCTAACTGTGGCCGAAAAGTCCTATTTCGGCCAAGAGATGGCCGACAGGCTACTACTTTTGATTTTTATGAAAATCATGCTATAGTTTTCGAAAATGCTATAAAATATATTATAGTTTTGAAAAAAAAATCTAGGAGCAGACCAGAGCTTTGTTTCACCTCTCAACAGAGTTTCCGCTATGTGGTTCACTTGAACCCGCCATGGGACAAGTTACCGCACCCATCTCCGAGAAGTAGGCAAGGTCGTTGTGTTAGCCAGGAGTGTGTGCGGTTCAACACGGAGGTGATCTATTTAGTTTTCACAGAATGCACTGTATTAAAGAAAAACAGTTGTGTTTTAATCCAAATAGGCTCAGCATTGCAGAACACTTGATTTTGAACACCCTTGTCTTGATGTGTATATGAGTAATAGCTGATGAGAGAACAATAGCTGATGCAGTCTCTGTCATGTACTATAATTTTGCTCTGTATTTTTAAAAATTCAGTTACGTTTTACTTCCGGTATGCTCAGCATCGCAGAAAACTAGACCTGAATGTCCCGGTCTCTATGTGTACATGAATTGGTATTGTTGATGCAGTCTAACTATATTTCTCTTCTTTTCTACCAGACTCCAGTAGCAATGGTTCCGGTGAAGATTTCAGGAACTTCTTTGGCGACGGTGACAATGCCTACTCAGAGGCGAAGAGACACCCAGACACCATCCTTTGATTCCCAATAACGATTGTTCATAGCAGTTGTTCATAGGAGCAGTGATACATATGAAGATTATCTCCATACATATTTTCAGGCCACACAAGTTCAGGGATTTTTGGCACCATGTAAACACTTGCCCCAAAAAATAGTATGTACCATTTTTCATTGTTCAGAGGGGTGTCTGTTGTAAAGTTCATGTGCATGCTTGTGATGCTCCAATGTGAAATACAGTGATGTTCTTGCATGGAAGCATTCAAAAAAATGTGTTCAGAGATCTTTAGTTCAGTTTCAGAACAAGATATCATCACAACAGTTATTTATAAAGTTGTTTCTCTCATACTTAATACTTATTATAGAGTTATAACTGCTGAACAATGAACAATCATGCAACAGCTACATAAGTCGATACAAGAGCACACGTGAGAAGACAGGCATAGTAGAGAAGACAGTGCAAGGCAGAGTTCATCTAGACTTCAAGGTCCGTATTGTTGGATTGGGGCACCTGGTGCATGAGTTCGTCGGGAGCACAGGATACGTTCAGCTCCCCTTGCCCCTCATCCTGTCCCTCTTTTTTTAATCCAATGGCTGAGGTTGGACCGGAGCACCTGGTGCACGAGTTCGTCGGGAGCACAGGATATGTTCTCAGTGTGACCCATACCATCGCTTATATGGACATAAAGACAATCAAATCTAGACAAGGAAATGCTCTTACAGTGTGACCAGCCATGTGCATGAGAGACTGAAATCACTACACGATTTAACAGCAAAGTAAAAGGGAACCAAAGCCAATTATAAATACTAAATTAACACATCTTTATTGTGTGACTGCAAAACGGCATGGATCTGGCGGATTAGTCATGGATCCACGTACTGCATCGCGTTTCATGGCGCGGTGCTCTCTCATGGTTGAGGCGACGACAACTCAACTCTCTCCACGCAGCGCTGATCCCCTGTGTGATCTCTGCTTCAAGACCATGCCTCCCTGTGCCTTGGGAGGATAGTGTCTTTTCCTGATAAAAGAATAAAGTATGTATTAGCATGGACTTCACTGTAACATAAAAGCAAGGTATGTACATATATCTTCCTAATTTCGTAGAAAGGAAATAGGCAATTAGTATAACTAAACTCAAATAGGAAACAACAGAAAATTAGTGTTTTTCTTTTAGTCCTACCCTTTGATCATATCACACGACCATGTTTTTCCATCTAAAAAAACAAGTACCATGTCATGTGATAGGTTCGTTGCAATCTTGTGTAGTTACTCTTCTTTTTTTGGGGCAGTGTAGTAACTCTCTCATATTCTTAAATAATGATCAATGCTCTATTATTTCCATTTTTTGCTTCAACATGGGACAAGATTTTTATCACCAGTCCTTAATTCATACTAATGCAAATCACTGATTGATATAATCAAAGACCAATCATGTGGAGATAAGTTTTTTTATTCATGTGGAGATTTTTGTCACCAGTCCTTAATTCATGCTAATGCAAATCACTGTTTGATATTATCAACAACTTAGTGCCCACACACAGGGCATGATTCTCCTTGCAGAACATATAGGCACTCTCCAGAAATAATTGGTCGATACCAATTCTAGTTTTGACTCCTCACTGGGGGTTGTTGTGATTAATTACTACCTCTGTACCAAGATATAAGATGTTTTTGCTGCAAAAAACGTCTTATATTTTGATACGGAGGGAGTAGTTACGAGTTTACTTGCACAACAAAGGTTACTGTTTCGTATTCAAATATTCAAGCCACAAGTCAACCAAGTGTAACACCATTTTCGTCTCCAGAAATCCTATCTCTCGATACAAATTCCAGTTTGCCCCCTGACTGGAGAGAAGACTTTTGTCATTAATTGATTATGTGTTCGCTTGCAAAATTAAGGTTAATGTTTTTCATATAGATATATTTAACCTAAAGTCACACCAAGAAAAAACAGGTATGATCGAACAGCATGATCATAGGTCATAACAAGTGAGCAACCAAAGAGACCTAATTGTGTGCAATATTAGCTTGGTCAAAATAACAAACCGTACAAACAAAATGTTATATTTTCTCTTAGTACCCTCATAAAAGAATAATTCAATCCAGAACCTATTAATTTTTTTCTGTAAATACCAACCACACAGGTACGAGGTACGCCAGAACACAAAATCTCCACTTTGCACCATTTCTTTAGCCAAAAATACCAATATTACCTCCATTTCCAGCAAGAAAATGAGTGTGCACTTCAGTATTTCATGGACACGCCAGTGCACTCATGTGTGAATGTATCAGCACCCTATTTGCTTCCTGACAAACACACGCGCAAGAGAGAGATGGCTCGAGGAAGACAATGACACAAGTGGTTTAGCACTGCTCAAACTTCCGCAGCTCTTCTGATTCTTGCCATTGCTTATTTGTGGCTAACATACTCCAACAGAAAAGACCACGAGTCCTACCATCTCACAGCTTTTCTGATTCTTGCCATTGCTTATTTGTGGCTAACAAACTCTAACAGAAAAGACCAAGAGTGAAGCGATTTTGCCCCTCATGTGAGTCGTGCCATCTCACAACTCAAGAATCACCTCGCGCAGCTCCTGGCGCCGCTAGACTAGCTCACAAACAAACCCGTGACGACCCCTATGTTATTGTATGTGAAAGGGGAAAACAGAAGGAAAATAATGTGACAGGCCACGGGGTTTATCCCAACAATATCACCCCCTAAAGCATGTGCCATTGTAACTTTGACCATGCCGATCTTTGCACGAAGCTCCACGAAGTGCACATGCCCAAGAGCTTGAGTGAGAATGTCGGCGAGCTGTCCGTTGGTGCCAACAAACTGCACACCAACCTTCATGGTCTCTCCGCATTCCTGAATGCAGTGGAAATGTGATTGCTTCGCTTGTGGAAAACTGGATTTTTAGCAAATGAGATGGCGGATTAGTTGTCAATGTAGAGTTGATCGCAGGCTGGCTCCTCCTTCAGTTTATTGAGGAACGAAGTGAGTGAAATTCCTTAGCACGCCGCCACAGTGGCAGCTAAGTACTCTGCTTCGCACGAGGAGAGAGGCACCACATTCTACTTGAGTGACTGCCAGCTGTTAACATTGTTGGCATAGAAGAACAACGGTGCTCAGCTCAGACGAGTGTCAAGATCACCGATCATGACGTTGTCGCTATAGCAGACGAGGTAGTCATCCCCGCTCCCCTCAAGAGTAGTGACAACCCCAGTTCGGCGTGCTGGCGGCATAGCGCAGCACTCTTCACCGCAGCAATGTTTTGGGTGGTCGGTGCCTCCATGAAGCACGAGACATAGCCGATGGCGTAAGAGGGACTAGCACACCTCGATCCGCAGGTAAAAACTCAAGGTACTGAGGTCACCCATTTTGAAGTGCTCGATTTCCCCCGACGTCGAAGCCAATGATGACACAGACACCACAAGCAGACGAGACGTGGTGCTGCCGCCGCGAACCTGGACGGCGCGCTCTCCGGCGCTCCGCTAGAAACAAAGTGAGAACGGACACGATCGAACTTTTGGTTCCAAGCACGTGGTGCTTGCTTCAGTGCGTAGAGCCTTGTCAAGGTGTAGCACTTTCCTCTCTTGTCCGAAAATGGTGTATCCCAACATTGTGCGACGTAACCTCCTCCTCAAGTTTGTCGTTGAGGAAGGCGGACTTTACGTCCTTTTGGTGCACGCCCCAGCCGGCGCGTGTTGCAAGAGCTAGCAAAAGCGGCACAGACTCGAGACGAGCGACAAGGGCGAACACTTCATCATGGTCCACCCGCTGGCACAACACATAACCCTTTGCCACAAGGTGCGCCTTGTGCCGGAGCACCACACCGTTTTCGTGTCTTGACCTTGTACACCCACTTCAAGCCTATGGGACCAAGGCTGGAAGGGAGCTCGATGAGGAGCCACCGTACCTTGTACACCCACTTCAGGCCTATGGGACCAAGGCTAGAAGGGAGGTCGATGAGGAGCCACGCGGTTTTCCTCAATGGACGTTGTCTCCTCATCCAAGGCGTGTAGTTAGGCCGCGTGCTGCTCGGCCACGAGGTGCAGCTCTCCATCATCCGGCAGGATTTTGTCGCTGAACTGCATATTGGGTTGCACAATACCGTCATGAGCGCATGGTCATCAAGTGCATACTTGCCGGCGACGACGAGGGTGGCATGCCAAAAGATAAATTCGCCGAGTCGAGGTCTACCATGTTAACCAGTTGGGGAGAAAGGGTTGTCGTGTCGAGGTCTACCGTATTAACCAGTTAGGGCCAAAGGGTTGCCGTGGAACCGCTTCTTGTTGTCGTGGCAATAGTCGCGGCAGTCACTGTCGCCGGTGCTGCCATGGCAGCATTCTCGGGCGAAACCGATCAACAGCAGCGCTTCCGCATGAAACGAGTGCCATAGCAACCTTTTCTAAGAGCATCTCCAACAGCCGCGCCAAACTAGCCGCGCCGCAAAATTGCCCGTTTTAGCACGCGCGTAACCGGTATAGTTGCTCCAGCGGGCGCGCAAAAACAGCGCGCGCGGCATATGTAGTTCAGCGCGCGGGCGAAACTCAATCGCGCGCCGCTTATTTGTTGCGCCCGCTCCCGCGCGCTGGACTCTCCCGCGCTCGCTCGCAACTCCCACCCCCCATCCAGCCGCGCCACCCAGCGACCGTTCCGACGCTTCCCCGGCCTATCCCCGCGCCGAAGCCGCCGCCCCTCGCGCGCGTCCGTCCTCCGACGAACAGCGCCCGAGCGCTCGCTGCCGCTCGGCGCCCGCAAGGTGTTCGACAAAACGCCTACAAGGTATGTATTGCTCAAACTTCGTGAATTTGGTGCATGTTGATTGTAGTTTTTATAGCATAGTATTGAACATTGTAGATGAGTTCGTCGTATGATTCTTCCGAAGAAGAATTTGATATGGAAGAGGAGGAGGATCTTGCAATGATCCTAGCTATGCATATCAATAAAAAACCGAAGCACGGTGGTTCGGTTATGGGTCGGCAGAAAATTTGGAGAGATAGGATCGATGCCCATAACAGATTGATGAGGCACTATTTCGTGGAGAATCCCACATACCCGGAGTCGTATTTTCGTCGCCGGTTTAGGATGAGCACCGACTTGTTCAGGCGCATTGCAGAGAAACTAGCGAGCCATGACCGGTTTTTTCAGCAGAGGAATGCCGCCGGAGAGCTCGGGCATAGCACCTTTCAGAAGGTGACAGCCGCTTTGCGTATGTTGGCATACGGTATCCCGGTTGATCTAGTTGATGATCACTTGGCTATGGGTGAGAGCCAAGCCATCATGTGTGTCAAGCGCTTCGCAGTCGGAATTGTGCAAGTGTTTGGCGAGGAGTATTTGAGAACTCCCAATGCTGAAGACGCCGCAAGGCTATTGGCGATGAACAAAGCTCGCGGCTTTCCTGGCATGCTTGGCTCAATAGATTGCATGCTTTGGAGTTGGAAGAATTGTCCAAAGGCATGGCATGGGCAATTCCACGGCCAAAAAAAGGGTTCCACTATAATCCTTGAAGCGGTGGCCGATCAAGAGACTTGGATTTGGCATGCATTCTTTGGAATGCCTGGATCTTTGAATGACATCAATGTTGTCAACCGGTCACCACTGATGAATAAGATTGCAAATGGTGAGTTGCCACCGGTGCAGTTTGTAGCAAATGGTCGTACATACAACTATGGCTATTATCTAGCGGATGGCATCTATCCAAAGTGGCAAACCTTCGTGAAGCCGTTGAAAAAGCCGGAAGGTAAGAAAAATCTTGATTTCCACAATGCTCAAGCGGCGGCTAGAAAAGATGTGGAGAGAGCTCTTGGGATTTTGCAAGCCCAATTTGCTTGTGAGAGGACCGGCTAGATTTTGGGATCAAAAAATGCTTTGGTACATCATGCACGCTTGTGTGATCATGCACAACATGATCATCGAGAATGAGCATGGCCAAGATTTAGACTACTCACAGTATGAGCTCTTGGGACATCCCGTGCGAATGCGACGGAGGGCTGAAAGGTTGGCCCGTTTTGTTGCCTCCTATCATGCCATTCGGCGTCCCGCAGCGCACAATGATCTTCAGAAGGATCTCATTGAGTGGTGGGCATGGCATGGACGACAAAGAGCATGATTTCTGCGTTCGACATTGTATTGTTCATGAACTATTTGTTGTGTTTATTGCACTATTTGTTGTACTGAACGATAAACTATTTGTTTGGGTTGTAATAACGAAATTGAACTATTTATTGTTGATTTATTTTTGTTTAGTTTGATCATTTTTGCTTCTATTTGAAATGTACTCCCTCCGTTCCTAAATATTTGTCTTTTTAGAGATTTCAAATGGACTACCACATACGGATGTATATAGACTTATTTTAGAGTGTAGACAAATATTTAGGAACGAAGGGAGTATATGTTGTTTGTGCGAGTCGCGCGCGCTGCATTTTAGCGCCGCTGTTGGAGCCAGCGCTAGCGGCCGCGCAAAACCAGGCGAACGGCGCACGGCAAACTAGTTTTTAGCGCGCGGAGCGAAGCGCGGCTGTTGGAGATGCTCTAATAACATGACACGTTCTGCCAGGATCTGTTATCATGCCAGGCACCTCTCCCTGGTCCTCCGCGACATCTGGTGCGTCTCCTAGGGTGTGCTGGGCGCCAAGTACTTACTTGATGGTGATGTGCGAAGGATGTGCTTGCGGGTAGGTCTGCTCCTCACAGCCAATCCCAGCTTCCCCATTGGTCAAAGACGAATGGTGTACATGTGCTTAGGGGACGCTTTACCTTGGCGAGGAGGTTCTTTTGCGGGCCGTGCACCGTCATGCTCCACGTGCGTCGAGTATCCAATCTCGTCAAACTGCCCAATGTTGACGATGTTGCTCTCCAGGCGGGAAATTCAATACACATTCTTTAATTCACGGTGGTGGCTACCCGTCGCGGCGAACAAGATAATGCCTTGTCTACATTCCTCCACCACAGAGTCCTCGCCGAACTTCACCGTGCCCATCACCGTACTGTTTCATGTGGTCCAACGAAGACAAAAGCGTTGACAGTCATTTGGTTTGACACACCGGCGTCAAGGTACCAGGGCACATCAACGTCACCAGAGGCATGCCGAAGCTTGATGCGAGCTCACTCTTCATTGAGGAAGACGCGCTCGTACTCTGCCATGGCAGCTGGAATGGAGTTGCTGCAATGGCAACATTGGGCACGATTGCTACCATTGCAGCCTTTCGGGGCAAAAGCCATGCCATGGCAGGATTTCCTACCGCGATGACTGCTGATAAGGATGTTGTCATTGCAATGCTTTGGGCGATTCCGCTACCATGGCAGGACTTTGCGCTGTGGTGGCAAGGTGTGTTGTGCACTCCTGCAGCAGCAGCAGCGTTGACTTCGTCGGCCTACACCAGGTGAGCCTCCTCCTGCTTCTTGCGGCAATCACTTGCCCAGTGGCCTAGCTTTCCACAATAGCGACACTTCTCGCGGCCGCCGCTTCTCGGCTGACCTTGGCTTTTGCGTCCGCCGCTGAACTTAGCTCGGGAGCACCCTCCACCACCACCACCACCACCACGGCAAGAGCTATTGTTGCCTGAGGTGTTGCTGCTGCCAGAGAACCCGCCTTGGTTGTACCTATACTATCGCACAACCTACTGCTCCTCAGCTAGCACTAGGCAGTTGCCGCCCTGGCTAGATCCATCCAGCCTGTGTCATACCTCTGCCGTGTTGAACCATCTCGTCAGCTCCTCGATGGAGAGTGCAGAGTGGTCGAACGGGGTCTATGTAGAGGGCGACATGTGAGTAGTGCGGCGAGACAGCCCAGAGAAATTTCTCCGAGGTTTCTTCCTGCAGCTAATCACCAGGTACTGCTAGATTGTTCATCATACCGTTGAGCCATAGGGCGAAATCATCGAAGAAGCTGCGGAAGTTTGAGTAGCGCATAACTACTCAACAGTATGAATTAGAAAACCTCATCCGAGTGCATAACTCTATGACCGCAACATAGTAAGGAAGTAAGTGCACAGGCATTTGGCACTGCCTCTACCATTACCATCCTGATTTCCTCTAGACTAACGAAGCACCAGAATTGTTCTCTGACGGTAGAAAAGCCTAGAAATTCTCCTCTTTCGCACTGACAGAATAATAGTACATTGTCTTATTGAAACGAGCTGTGCATAATGACTTGATCAAGAAAGATAGAGAGATCCAGAGTCCTCACCTAGCAGGTTTCTCGGTAGCCAGCCCCATCCCGTTCCACGGGAAGTTTCCCCCCTTTTCGTCAGCTTGCTCATTCGCCCCGGCACGTCCCCTCCTCTTGTTCCCCAGCCTCCCAGGGTTTCCATACACGATCTTGCCGCATCCAGCCCTGGAGAAGCCCTCCCTCTCGTCCTCCATCCAATGTTTCCCCTTCCCCTCCCTCTCCCCCTCGACCTCTGCCCCTTCCACAACCTTCCTCCTCGCCGCGGCTGCGCTGGCCTTCCGCTCCCTCTCCCCGAGGATCGCGCCGATGGGGAAGATGTCGGGGGAAACGGAGAGCGGGGCCTGAAGAGTGACGTAGGCCTTCTTGTAGTCTGGCTTGGCGGCGAGGAAGGGTCCCCGGCGGTGCTTCTTGCCCTCCATGTTGAGGGTGCGGACTTCGGCGATGTTGAAGCCGTAGACGGACTCGAGGCAGCGGCGGATGTCGACCTTGGAGGCGGAGGGGACGGTCCTCACAGCGAACTCCTGGACGGAGGTCAGGGGGGCCGGGGGGAGCATGAGCTTGATGGGGAGGTTGGCGAAGTGGAGCACGCGGCGGCCCAGCCTGCTACCCATGGCCGGATGCGGCGGCGAAGGGTGGCCGGATGCGGCGGCGGAGGAGGGCGTAGGGTTTAGAGAGTGAAAATGGTTCGGTTCGGGTTCAGCGGCTCAGGCGAAGGACTCGGGACAAGAGAGACTATTGGGCTTGGTTCGGCTGTAGCGACCAAAAATGCCCACAAGCAAGCATTCGCGGCATTGGGCGGGCCCAAGCGCACGGGAGGCCACAGCCACATTTTATTGTTTCTTTTTCACGTTCTTAGTTTTTGTTTTCTGCTTTACTCTTTTACTTTTGTTATTTATACACTTCCAAACGTTATAAATAAATATATTAACAAACAAATCTACATAAAAACATTTGTAACAAATGGTAACCAAGTATTTGAAAAATAATAAATGTGTATAGAGAAAATGTTTCTCCTGTGTATGGAAAAAATGTTAATCAAGCATTTGAAAAAATGTTTAAAATGTTTATCAAGCTTTCGAAGTAAAACATCAAGCCGGAACATTTTCAGCACCCTCCGGCTCGGTTTTCTCTCTGAAACATTTCCGGAAGGTCCCGGAACATTTTCAGCACCCTCCAAAATTGTTTCGGAATAAAACATCAAGTCGGAAAATTTTCGGAATACGTACGATTTTGGAGGGTGCTGAAAATGTTCCGGGACCTTCCAGAATTTTGCGAGAGAGAAAGCGAGCGAAAAACACCATGTTCCCGCCAGGGCGACAAGATTCCCCTTTTCGTGGGGAGTTATTTTTCGGTGGGGGTCCCTTTTGGGGATCAGCCCATAATTGATAGAAGCTTGTTGGGGGCATGGTGGGGGCAGCCTCATAGAAATATGCCCTAGAGGCAATAATAAAGTTGTTATTATTATATTCCCTTATTCATGATAAAGGTTTATTATTCATGCTAGAATTGTATTGATCTAAAACTTAAATACATGTGTGGATACATAAACAAAATACTGTGTCCATAGTGAGCCTCTATTAGACTAGCTCGTTGATCAAAGATGGTTAAGGTTTCCTAACCGTAGACATGTGTTGTCACTTGATAATAGGGTCACATCATTAGGAGAATGATGTGATGGACACGACTCATCCGTTAGCTTAGCGTAATGATCGTTCTGTTTTATTGCTATTGCTTTCTTCATGTCAAATACATATGTCTTCGACTATGAGATCATGCAACTCCCGGATACCGGAGGAATTCCTTGTGTGCTATCAAATGTCACAACATAACTAGGTGATCATAAAGATGCACTACAGATATCTCTGAAGGTGTCTGTTGAGTTGGCATAAATCGAGATTAGGATTTGTCACTCCGTGTATCGGAAAGGTATCTCTTGGCCCTCTCGGTAATGCACATCACAAGAAGCTTGCAAGCAAAGTGACTAATGAGTTAGTTACGAGATGATGTATTATAGAACGAGTAAAGAGACTAGCCAGTCACGAGATTGAACTAGGTATGAAGATACCGACGATCGAATCTCGGGCAAGTAACATACCGACAGACAAAGGGAATTACGTATGATGTCCTAAGGTTCGACCGATAAAGATCTTCATGGAATATGTAGGAACCAATATGGGCATCCAGGTTCCGCTATTGATTATTGACCGGAGAGGCGTCGCAGTCATGTCTACATCATTCTCGAACCCGTAGGGTCCGCATGCTTAATGTTCGTTGACGATATAGTATTATATGAGTTATGTGATTTGGTGACCGAATGTTGTTCGGAGTCCCGGATGAGATCACAGACATGACGAGGAGCTTCGAAATGGTCCGGAGGTAAAGATTGATATATAGACGATGCTATTTGGTCACAGAAAGGTTTCGGAGTGTATCGGTAGTCATCGGATCACCGGAAGGGGTTCTGGGAAGCCCCGGGAGGTTAATGGGCCTTATGGGCCAAGAGGGGGAACACACCAGCCCACAAGGGGCTGGCATGCCCCTTCCCTTGGCCGACGGCCCTATGGACGGACAGGGGGAGGGCTAGCCCCTCTTTCCTTCCCTCCACATAAGAGGAAGGAAAGGGGGTGCCACCTCCTCCTGCCTTCCCCCCACAGGCAAATAAGGAAGGGGGTGCCAAAGGGTAGGCGCCCAAGGGGCCCGGCCGG